CTCAACATGGGAATGCGCATGCCTGCATGGTACGACATCAAGTCGCTGGCTCGCGTGAATGGCGACAACGCTGACGGCATCGACGCCTCTCGTGACCGCATCATGGAGATCATCGAGAAGGAGGTGGCAGCGGGGATTCCCTTGTCACGTATCGTGCTGGGAGGGTTCAGTCAGGGCGCGGCGCTGTCACTTTTCTCGGGTTATCAAACCAAGACGGTGTTGGGTGGAATTATCGCAATGTCCGGGTACTTGCCCCGCTACGCTGTAAGTTGTGAATTGTTTGAGATATAGGGAGTAGGTTATTGACGTGGATGTATTGTGGTTTGAAAAGTCGTTCCAATTCGCTCCAGAGACTGCGGATGTGCCGCTGCTCATGTGTCACGGCGAACAAGACCCAGTGGTGCGCTTCGATTACGGCAAGATGTCCAAGGAGAAGCTGGAGACGGCTGGTGTGAAGAACATCGAATTCCACTCGTACCCGGACATGGAGCACGGCGCTTGCATGGAGGAGCTGGATGACGTAACCAAGTGGCTCCAGCGCGTCATCCCCGATACACAGAAGTAGAGAGATCGAGATCGAAGCTTGCAATGCCTGTCGAGCTCCTTGTGGAGACTGTGAACCAAAATGCACCAAATGTTGCAATCATTTGCATCATCAAAGCCCGAGATGCCACTCTTGATAACGCCTCACTTGTCTCGAAAGATTGCATCAACTCCAGCCTTTTACGCATACGTTTTGTGTCATTTCGACAATTTGCCATGAACCTGAGCGTACTTCTCCATTTGCTTCTCCTCGCGCTTGTGTCCAGCAGCTGCAGCTCCACAATGGTCGTCGACAAGCAGAACACAGTAGTGTACAACAGCGAGAAGCCCAGTGCCGTGGTCTTCTTCCTCCACGGACTCGGAGACACGGCGCACGGCTGGGCTGACATGTTTCGTGGAGTAGCCGAGGACATGCCGCACGTTAAGTTTGTGCTTCCCACTGGTTGGTTGCTCGTAGCTCCGATTTGGAGTGCTTGGCCACATCGATAACATTGATAACCTTTTTGCCAGCCAAGCCTCGTCCGGTGACCATCGCCAACGGCCGGGAGATCCCTGCCTGGGTATAGCAATCAACCATGTTTCTCGACTACGTTGATGTGATCTTCTGCCACCACCCTGAACCGTGTACTCCTATCGAAGAGACTGTGCGTGCCATGAACTACATCATCGAACAAGACTGGGCTTTCTATTGGGGCACGAGCAACTGGCCAGCGAGCTCCATCCTCGAAGCGTGTGAGATCGCTGACCGATTGGGGGCTTGGTAGGGAGGGGTGGCTGCTTGTGGCTGA